GACCTCTCGTTCATTGGGGGAATCGAGAGGGGATTTTGTGTAGGAAGGTTTGACCAGGTGACAGATCAAGATTTATTATATCCGGACTCTAAATATGAAAGTGTTGACTGCACAAACATAGCGTAAGTTTGATTGGATTAAACTTGATCGAATTTGGTGGTCCCACCGTCAATTAGTCTGATCGGTGAGAGATTTAGTGTTCATCACTTTGTTCATATTGATCGGGTTATCCCTAAAAATATTAACATTATTTTGGGAACTTCCCGTTACACGAATTATCCACCCCCAGCTTCCTCTCAAAACTGGGTGTTAAGAACATAAAAATTCTCCAGGAACTTCCCGTGAAAGAAATGAAACAGTTTAGACTCATATACATGTTGGAGTATTAGGGAGCAGTTTAACCTCTTATACCGGTCGGAGGATTGAGAAACAGTTTATACTCGTATACTCTTTGGAGTGTTGTCATTCTCAACTGACTTACCTTAGCGTTATGACGCCGGCTTCAACCAAGGTTTGGATGCTATTCTTGAGAGCAAAGCAATCCTTGGTGGGATGAAGGACCCTCCTGTGGTATGCACAGTACTTTGGATCCGTCGTGTTGTCAGCTTCCTCCTGATTTGTGATAGGTGGTAGCTTGATCTTGTTACCTTCAAGGAGGGATTCGAAGATGGCTGGAACGTCTTCGTCCTTGAAGGAATACTCTCTTTGGAGTCTCGGACCCGAAGTCTTTTGCTGCCTTCGGGATTGCTGTTGTGACGCTTGATTAGCACCACCAGCAGCTGCAGGTGCCTTGCCCTTACCACGAGAGGCGAAGTTTGAGTCCAGAGGATTAGCCGTCGGTAGGTTCCTCTCGGCCTTCTTCCTTCGGAGGAAACGTTCAGCTTGCTCTCCTCGGACTTTCAGATCCTGCCACGTTTTGGACGGTGCTGTGCCCATTGCTTCCAACACATCCAGCGAAAGGTTGTTGTGGCAGGTCTGGAGGATGAATTCATTGGTGATCGGGTCCCGACAATTCATCGCTTTGTTCCGGAACCTTTTAACGAAGGTGTCGACTAACTCCCCGTCCTTCTGCTTCTCATCGAGCAATGATCCGATAGATATCTCGGTGTCGTCGTCGAAGAAGTTGGCCAGGAACTTGGTCTCCATGTCATCCCAGCTGTTCACGCTTCCTGGCTTGAGGCGGCGGTACCAATCGAAGGCGGCTCCGCGAAGAGTGCCGACGAATGACCGCACCATCAGAGGCTCATTGCCGGAAATAATACCCAGGTGCGATTTGAAATAAATCAAATGCTGAGTGGGGGAACCCTTCCCATCAAACGGCATGAAGTTGATTAAACTGAACTTCGCCGGATAGGGGATCGATTCCCACTCTCTTGGGTATGGACAGGGAATGCCTGTTTTCTTCGTCTCTTGAGCGGAGATCAATGTGTTGATTTCATGCATTTCTCTCATATTCTGCATGGCCATCTGCCTTTCGAACCTGAAGCTCTCCTGTTGTTTGACCATGGCTTCTTCGAGCATCTTGGCCACTTGTTCCGCGCTTATCATAAATGACTCGCGTATCATGAATGACTCGCAGGGTTGTCCATCGCTGGATACCGTGTTATCTGATACGACAGCAGAGCAGGAATCCGATTCTTCATCTTCTGACGGTAATCTTGTCCGAACCCTACCATAAGTTCCTCGTGTAATGGCTCCAGACTGCAGACGAGTTAGATACCAGGGTATTTCCGGAATCAACTCGGGATTGTCCCTTGTCGATGCCCTTTTGCTGGTCATATTGGTGGTGACCCTCGGAAATTCTCCGTCTTCAATTATCCTTCTTCCTTGTCGGAAGCGCCTAGACCTTGGTTTTGGCGTTTCGGCACTAAGCCTTTCGAACACTGAAATTCGCTCGGGGACTGCCTTGACGCAGTTGCATTCAGACAGTACCGCCCGAATGAGCTTTGAACAAGGGCACTGAGTTTCTAGTCCTCGGGGACTTCTCTTTCTGGCTTTGCTCGTACCCCCAGCACGATAGTACAGCTCGTCCGTTTGAAAGTCGGAGCAACCTATCGTGTGTTGGCACGATTTCTCAGGTATAACGTAATCATCATCAGACGATAACGTTTCCTTCTGAGAGCGAACTACCTTCTTCGGGCTTTCAAAAGTTACGCGCCTCGAAACATGCCTTTTCGGGCGTGAGTTCTCAGCGGGCTCTTGGACTTCAATGCGCAAATTGGTGCGCATAGCTGCCCTGATTCCTTTATCATGTTGGAGGTGACGGCGACCCCCAGCGTGTTGAGTCGTTCTGGGCTTCTTCATTGGGCCCAAACTCTCTTGAACTGGAGTTTTGCCTCTCTCGTCGGGAATTGGACCGAGGCGCTCCAAAACTGATTTCTTCTTTCGGGATGATTCTGCGTGATCTCCCGGAGTAGTTGCTGGAATTATCGGCGACTTGGGTTGATTCGCCGGTGGTTGGACTTTTGTTAGAGGTTGCTTCGGCCTCCATACTTTGCGATGTGTGGCGGCTTCTTGGCTACCTCTTTTCGCACTTTGCTACGGGTTCTTCGGCTTGAGGCCTACGTGGCCTGCGCTGATAGTGCGCGGCGTTGCGGATGCTCTTCCAGCGTCAAACGATTCGTTTGACACGGACCCATTCCATTATTGGCGCTTGGAAGAGGCGTCGTTCATCTTGTTGTTGAGGCGTTTGCTCTTTTGTTTTTCAGAGTCCACGTTATAGCGGATCCCGTCAACTGACTCCATGGCCTTTGCGAATTGTTTCGCAAGGCCTTGACGTTGCCTTTGGCGGGCTCTCTTCGAGAGAGTCACCACGCCTTCTGCGGCAGAAAGGTTGGCAGGAGTAGATCTGCCTTGGTTCTGGGAATTGGAGGAATCCTCACCCGATGCGACTTTGGCATCTAGCGGGGCTGAGATCTTCGTTTTGGTTGTTATTCACATCTTCATCACCAACGAGTTTTTCTCCTGGGAGGAGGATTTTCTTTGGACTTGCGGGGGAAGGTGATCCGGACGAGGACGCAAGTATCTCGAACTTCTGGCTGGTCCGAACTCGTATTCGACCTTCCTCCACAGACCGGGATCGAGATCGCGGCTGCGACGCAAGATCTCGGCAGCGAGATCGGTGGCTCCCACTGTGGTCGCCAGATTGTTCGCGGGAAAAATCGTGTCTTTCTTCATTATTGATTCCATTGCTATCTTTAAATAACAACTTTTTGAGTTACAAAGATCCGACCTTTTTATAAGATCCGGTTACAATGAAAATCAAAGAAAAGAAAAGAAAGATTACAACTTTTTATCCTTGTTTGTCGAACGAATCGCGAGCTCCTGTTTTGCGGTCACTCGCTTTGTGGGTTCTTTGCCTGTGTCGGGGTTTATCCGTGGACCACCGTGAGATCTAGATCTGGTCGGATCTACGCAGTACGACGGGTATTATTTCACCAAGGAAATAATAGCCGGGGGGATTGATTCACCAAGGAAACAATCGCCCAAATCTCGGGATCAAAGGCCAAGCTTTGATCCGGAGTACACCTGCGTAGATCTGAGATCCGGTCCTCTCGAACTCTTACCTTAATTGGCGTTTACGATCGCCGAGCACCAGATCAGGATGAACAAGTCCTCGAAGTCCCAAAGCTTGGATCTTTTTAAGTTCTGAGTCTTGAATCCAGCAGGGCTTCGCCTCTCCAAATTTTCCAACCTTTTCAAATAACCACCCTTGGCCTATTTATAGGCACCCAGATCTGTGCCTAGGCACAGATCTGTGGCCGGCACTGGGCCGAGCCACCCATGGGTGGCTCGGCTTTGGCCGAGCCCCCCTTAGGTGTTTCTGTTTCGTCGTTTTGTCCGTTGTATCTGTTTTTGTCCGTGATTCGGTTGTGCGGTTGATTTGTCTGGAGTCGATTTGTTGACCTGATTTGGCAGTCGATCCGATTCCCGATTTGGCAGTAAATCCACTTCTGAGTTCGAGTTCGAAACCGATCTTGATTCGATCGTGATTCGTCCGAGTCCGCTTTTGTTTGAATGACTCGTTGGTTCCCCGAACCGTTGGCTTGATTCTACGCGCGAATGGGATGTATTCCGTTGCTTGCGTGCGATTCGTCAACCTCGTCGCCTCGTTGGTTCGTCGGTTTGTGCCGAGCTATGCTAAGGGACCTATAAGCAATTTTATATGCCTACAAGGACATTCAGAATTCAAGTGGGGATTTCTTATTTATCACTTTTGTAGTAACTGGGTTATCTCTAAGAACACCAGACGTAGTATTCTTCTGGGAACTTCCCGATACATGGGTTATCTTGAATGTACTAAGGGAGATGAGTTGGGTTTCAAGTTACCAAGGGTATTTTAGGTATTAGCTTTTTTATGAGACGGAATGAGTGTATTTTGATACCTTGGGTTTAAAGATGAGTCAAGTTTGTGTTTTGGGTGTATGAATTATTATGAAACTTAGTGGGTTTTTAAATATGTCGGGGGTAAAACATTGGGGGGCTGTTTGGTTGTTGTTGGTAAAGTTGTGTATTTATGACACAACTTGGAAAGTTGTTGTCCACCTCATCAATTTTACTTTTATATTTTTCTTTGTTTGTTTTTGATTTCATTGGAATCATAAATTGCTTGTTTGGTTTACAAATGTAACTTTAATTGTTTGTTTGGAAAGTATAAAAAGTGGTCCCTACTTAAATGATCATATTGGTTGGAATTATTTTTTATTATTTTTCCCTGACTTCAATGTCAGCTTTCTCCTAAAATCATGTTTTTTTTTATGAAATCACTTTACAAGCCACATCAGCATATGAAATCACTTTACCTTATTTTCACAACTACAAACAAACAATTGAAAGTGATGAAAGCTGACATTGGGACCCACTTTTTTACACTTTTCATCCTTTTACATGGTAAAAACATACAACCAAACAGCCCCTGGGTCAATAGGCAGAAACCCCCTATTTTTTTGGGGCTTAGTCCGCATTAATTATTGAGTAGAGCCGTTCACGTCCCCAATAGCAAACGCCAAAGCCGTGGTCTTCTTTGCTTCTTCGCTTATTAGGCGGTAGGCCAGCCGCACCCCCCTACCGTCACGCAACCGCGGTATCCCCTCCAAACAAAGACTCCTCTCCTCTAAACAACTACAATAATTTCTCCCGCCATTTGAAGAGACTCCAGGTAATAACCCCCATTAGATCCGCTCACCGCACAACAACGCAGATGATGGATCTGCCCGTCGTCGATCTCGGCGCCTACCTCTCGGCCTCTTCTCAGCCGGAGGAGCTCACCGCCCTCTGCGCGGCGGTGAGCAGATCCCTGAAGGAGACGGGAGCTCTCCTGGTGAAGGATCCGAGGTGCTCGGCCGAGGACAACGATCGGTTTCTTGATATGATGGAGAGGTATTTCGAGAGATCTGATGAGTTTAAGCGTCTTCAAGAGCGAGCTAATCTCCACTATCAGGTCAGTTTGTTCTAATTTGGTTCTTTTTGTCATCTAGGGTTTGATTTTTTTTAGGGATTTTCTAATTTCTGCTGTTGTATTAGGAAAGTATTGCGGCTATTTCTCTAATTTCCTTCTTAGTGTATCACTGTGCATGCCTTCAGATGTCCATTAAGCTCCATTCGCATTATCTTGTACTGGGTTCAGACCCGTGCAATGCATGGAGGTAGCAGTGTAGTATTCAATGTCACATTCAGAATATTGTAGTTTGATAACTATTTTTTTTTCTTTCATTTTAATAACTGTAATACAAATTAGAAATATTTCTAAAATATTTTTCATACAAACAACAAGATACCGTAATAGCATTTTACATTACGCGTAAATAACAGAACTACACTGCTTATCATATAAGAGATATATGACATCAATCTGGCGAACTACACATACTCAAGTCGTGCATAAAAGACAATATAATACCTAACAACATGAACTCAGTGTAAACCTTCACAACACGGAACATAAGGGAAATACATTCTGTCCAAATTTATTTAGTTTAGTATTTACCAATAGCTAGAAAAAGAAATAAAAATATTTTAGACAGAAAAATACAATTATTAGAAAGAAAATACTTTTAACTCTTTGTTTGAGTCAGCTGAGAGATTGAGGGAGAGGATTAGGGTTAGAGTTAGGGTTTTTTCTTTTTTTCTTTCGTTTGAGTCAGCTGAGGATCAAATCGAACGGGAGATTTGAGAAATAGGGATGAGTTTTTTTAATCGAACGGCTCGGGTTGGATTTTAACAACCAAACCCGCAACCTGCAACCCGAATGAATCGGCCTTCGACGAATCCGAGCCGTGTCCGAGCTCCTTTGACCGTGTTCGAGCCTAATTTGACCGTTGACCCGTGTCGGACACGGATTGACCGTGTCTGACACGTGTCGTGACGAATCTGTGTCCGATTCGAGTCGGACACGGATTCGTTGCCTCCAGGAGCGAATCCGTGCTTCATAGGTACCTGCAAACGAGAGCAAGCAAAACGCAAATGATGAACTCTTGTATTTTAGCAACGGAGTAATCTAAATGTAGCTATATTCATTGTTACTCTGATAGAAAAAAAGAGTGGGCAAAACCCACAAACCTGTTGCTATCTCCTCGAAGCATGTAAGACTTAAAGCCTGCTAACAATATCTTGTGGAGAAGAATTTAAAAATCTAATAAAAAATATATATTGGCAATAGTTTACTACACACTTCAATTAAATAAAAAGGCATAATAGTCCAAAGCAACTTCACCAAAGATTATAATCTAAATGTAGCTATATTCATTGTTACTCTGATAGTATGTTTAGAACATTTATGGTTTCAAGATCTCATTTGTGTGTCTCTTGATTCTTTTAAGGCATGCAAATTCTATTTTACTAGTGATCCTGCGAAATCTGAAAGCTCTTAATTTATGAACTTCTTTTCTGATGGCCTTTTTTATACTGACAGGGTAATTCCCACGCTGTTTCTATCTCTCTCTTTTCATATGTACCAAATTTTATATCTATTCTCAATCTCTCTAGTTCCTTTTATTCTGCATAAACAAATTATATGAATCTTATGCATAAGAGTCTTACTCCTTTGTCACTTATGACTATAGTATATGTCTATTCCTATTAGATACTGTATAGTGGACTGTTGTTTCTCAACACACCCTTGTCTTTACACCGGGTAGCACTGATGTATGGAAACGTAAACATACTGCTTTTTCAATGCTATCATGACTTTTTACTACATTTTGATCTGTAGCACTCAAATTTTGTTTCACTGGAAAATGCAGGTTGGTGTGACGCCTGAGGGGGTGGAGGTACCTCGAAGCCTAGTAGATGAGAAGTTGCAAGAAAAGATAAGGATGATGCCAGAAGAGTTTCAACCATCCATACCTAGAGGACCAGATCCAAAATGGCGATACATGTGGAGAGTAGGCCCTAGGCCAGAAAACACCCTCTTTAAGGTCGCATCTTATGTATCAAGTTGACTTTGTGCACATTTATATTAAACGAATATCATATCTTAACAACTAATCATATAGGAATTGAATTCCGAACCTGTGATACCTGAAGGGTTCCCTGAATGGAAAGAAACTATGGACTCGTGGGGATATAAAATGATATCTGCAATTGAGGTGAAACATTTTGCTTGTATAATTTTGTCTTGAGTTGTTACTTGATTGCTGCTAAATCTTTATCTAGTCATATTAAAATATTGTATTGTAGGTTGTTGCTGAAATGGCTGCAATAGGATTTGGCCTCCCGAAGGATGCCTTCACTTCTTTAATGAAACAGGTGGTCATTGAAGACACTTTTGGCGATTGTATTTATACTCTTTAATTACCAGCGTAGATAATAGTATAAAGTGTGACAAACATTTCACTAAATAAAACTAGTTCTCTGGTCCACGCTATGCGAGCGTATGCAGTAAAAAGAAGTGGGCAATAAAAACATGTTGCTACTACCTTAATAATAGATGTCTGTAAATAGGTGTAAAACATTGTTGCAAAAGAAAAGTGCGAAAGTTTGCAAGTGAGTATGTTGACTAATTTCATGAAATTAAACAAATAAATTAACTTTTACAAGTTAAATAAATTATCTCATAGTCTGTGTGATCAAGAGTTTCTTGAAAGTGCTGTTGATGTTGTCATAGTAAACAGTCCCTCACTAGTGTGATGGTTTTATTGATTGAGAATTTGATATTAGAGAGATTGTAGACTTTAAATTTTGAGAATGGGATGGAGAAAGTTTGTGGGGAGTTTTTGAGGGGCGGAAACAGGTATAGAGATTATGACAAAGGCTTTATAACTGTAAAGGAGCTAATGGGTAGTGTTTTTTTTTTCAAAATTTGCCCCTTGATAAGCTGTAAATACTTGCAAATTATTGAGGATATTCGTTGGGGTTTTTCTAATTTGTGACAAATAAGGACAGAACACCAAAAAAATGGACCAAAAGTCGGCCTTTTTTAAAAATAGTGATAGATTTGTGGGCTATAGTAACTGTTTCGTATCTAAATGCCCTCTGACAGAATTTTTAACTACGTTACAACATCTGAAAAACCTTTCAAATTGCTCTTCACATCTTTAATGAAACAGGATTTGTTAAAGGTATTCGTAGTAAGTCTACTGTTACACCTTAATTACCTGCAAACATAAATTATGAAGCGTCCGACAAATTTTAACTAAGAAAAAAATTGTGTGCTATATAGTTCACATGTTCTTTAAGACTTTTAACCATATACAACATCAAACCATGTTATTACCTGTGCAGTTCATGCAAACTTGTTTTCTTTTGATATTCAAAATTACTTTATGATGATGATACAAAGTATATCTGAAGATAGTTGCTCCCCAAGTACATCCTATAAATAGTTTCAAATAATCGTAGAACAACAATAAGATGATTAAAAAAAAGGTTTGCTGTCCACTTTGATACCCAGGCATTCGAGTCCTAGATGACAATACAAGGAAGTGAAAGTGTTACCTCAGTCAAAGTACAGAGATTTTGTTTAAGATTTAAGTTGATGTTAAATTCCCTATTCATAAATGTGCTTCTCGTCAGGGAGATGAGAGCACAACTGGAAACGATTAGTCGCTAATTCAGTAAAAATGTTTCTATGACTTTGTATATATCATCAAAACCTATATAATCAACAACTTCCTGACATGTTAGTTTTAATATGGTTAAAGCAGCTCTGAGGCAGCAAGAATCCCTTCTGTTTCTGAAGTTCAAAGTCTACAGTTTGAATGCAATCCATTTTCGAAATAGTCAGGTCATGAATCCTTTATCTATCTATTACTATATTTAAAAGAAGCCAAACTTTTGGTGCTTCGCCCCTATTCCTCACAAATTCGAAAAATCCTGAGCAATATCCTCAGTATCTTGCAAGTATTTACAGCTTACCAAGGGGCAAACTTGGAAAGAAAAAAAACACTACCCACTAACCCCTTTACAGTTATAAAGCCTTTGTCATAATCTCCATACCAATTTCCACCCCTCAAAAACTCCCCACAAACTTTCTCTATCCCATTCTAATATCAAATTCTCAATCAACAAAACCATCAACACCAATGAGGGACTGTTTACTATGACAACATCAACGGCACTTTCAAGAAACTCTTGATCATACGGAGTAAGCTGAAGAAATCAATCAACTAAGAGATAATTTTATTAACTTAGTTTATTTGTTTAATTTATTAACTTAGTTTATTTGACTTTTCTTTTGCAATAAAATCTGACACCTATTTATATAGACATCAATTATAAGGCACTAACAGCATATTTTTATTACGCACTACTTTGTACTGTGTATGCACTCATCGTGTGCACCACAGAACTAGTAATGAGTATTTCAAGTGGCCAGCTTACATGTTCTTCCTTCTTAGTAGTACTTCTTAAATAATGCCATAATGTTCAAAGGACCAGTTCATGTGTTCTTAATCATTCAGGTATCTTGTAGAACAGAGATGATGTCAGTAACCATTATACTACAGTCATAAGAATTTTCTTTTCCCACAATATGGAACATAGAACTATATTGTCTGTTGGCGATCGTTGTTTTGTGGAGACCTAAAATTACATATCAAAGCTCCAGGATTTTATTATCAAAATAATAAACTTCTAACCTAAAGTGAATATTTGATGGGTAATATGCATTTCTGTAGATTTGGTATCTTTTTCCATAGGAGAAATCATTCATTATTCTTTAAGCATCATTGTTTTGTAACTAATAATTTGTGTTTGAGAATAGAGAGTAAATGTCTTTCCTTAAATTACTGTCCATGTCATCTGACCTTGCTTACAACTTTGAGTATTCCCTCTTTAAAAACATATTTCTCTCTTAAAATCACCAGGGACCTCACCTCCTTGCTCCAACAGGAAGTGACCTTCAGCGTCATGGCCAAGAAGGTACTGTATTTGCTGGGTACCATTACGATCTTAATTTCCTGACTATCCATGGAAGAAGCAGATTCCCTGGCCTAAACATCTGGTTGAGAAGTGGAGAGAAAGTAGCAGTTAAGGTTCCTGTTGGCTGCCTTCTCATTCAGAGTGGAAAACAGGTAAAGCATGCTCTCGTTGTTTCTTCAGGGTAAATATCGAAACACAACAGTGGAATCTCGATTGCAAAAATCATTGCATTTTACACTTTCCTATGCGTTCTCAACAATACGATTAAGTTAATATAGACCCTCTTGTTTTGGAGAATGTTGCAGATGGCTATTTTCTATTTGTTGTCTGTGTAGTTCTTAATTCCAAACTTTTATAGATAACTCATTAGTAAGTTATTTTCTGCGATGTTTCTATAAACAGGATCTGTAAGGAAACAGCCATGAAAAGAGTTTTCTTTTTTTAATTTTTAAGAAACAGGAGTTACATGATAAAACCCAAGAAAATGGTGGCAAATATTACCGTCAGCAGCTTAAAATAGTTTTCTGTTGCTATGCAGTTGGAGTGGCTGACTGGCGGAGATTGTTTAGCTGGAATGCATGAAGTCATCGTGACCAGGGGGACTCTGGATGCCATTGCACTTGCACGCCAGCAAAACCGCAGCTTGTGGAGGGTTTCTTCTACTGTAAGTAAAAATCACTCTCAAGTACATAATATTTTCCTTTCTAATCTCCTGATAATGAGTCCTTGGTTCTTTCTGGAAAAACAGCTATTTGCCCATATTGCTTCCGACGCTGTGTTGAAGCCCTTGGGCCACTTTGCTGAAACAGCAGATGCTAGTAAATACCCGCCAACAGTTGCTGGCGAGTTTGTTGAACAAGAGCTTTCGGCAATCAATTTGAAGGGGAAGAAGTCTGAATCTTAAGAACAGAGTCAGAATTGTGCACAACCGTGTAATTCTTGATTCATGATATTTAAACTGGATGTTTATGGACACCGATGATTAGTTGATACCTCTCATTTTCATTCTGCAGGTTCATAATAAGCATTAATTCATTCTTCTGGCATTCTGTGTCATTTACTGAGCAGTTATGATTTAGATGGGCATAGCCATAAAGTTGATGCAACCTGAAGGAACCTAGTTGCTAGTTGAATTAGTGGGTAAACAATGTGAAAGTAGTTTTAGCATAAGTGCTGACGAATGCTTCTCGATTGATCGGTCACGTGATTGTGTTTTGTTTTGGTTGACATACAGAACAATTACGATCCCCTTGTCATATGAAAAAGGATTTTATTCACTGGTGAAACAAATTTATTAATTGATGAGATCGCACCATATGCATTTAACTGATGAAACAAATTTTTTCTTCTAATTTAAGCAAGAAAACTATATTTTTTATCAAATTTGCAGTTGGCTGGAGAACAACTGTTCATTTTTATTGTTTATAAATCATAAAAAAGACAAATTTGATATTTAGAACAAAATGAACAATTACTTTGCAGCCAACTGCAAATTCAGAAGAGGGACTACATATATACAGCATCATTCCCTCCGACTGCATTTTGCAACCAAAAATACAACCCGATTGGACTGCGATGTGGTTGTAAAATACATTTTTGCAGCCCCATTGAAGTTGCTCTAGCTTCAAATATCAAGCTCTAAATCAGTGGCTAATTTTCGTGCTTGTTTCGATTTCTAGAGAAGCAAACATCAAAGAGATGGTATCGTAAACATATATCTGCGTAAATTACCCAACCGAAGAAAAATTTCCTACTGACATAATACATTCACGATAAATTCACAACACCAAAGAGAGGAAAAAGCAAGTTAGCAGCAACCTTCCTTTTCCTTGAAGAAGAAGAAGACCCCCCACATTACAAGCCACATGACAGCCGGATCGTCTCTTTCACACAAAACCCCCTTGAAAAATGGAAGAAAAAAAAACAACCCAACGAGTCCAAATCTAAGCCCTCTCCCCTCTAATCCTCCTAGCGAGCTGAATGTCCTTGGGCATGATGGTAACCCTCTTGGCGTGAATAGCACAAAGATTGGTGTCCTCAAACAACCCCACCAAGTAAGCCTCAGCGGCCTCCTGCAGCGCGGCGACCGCCGAGCTCTGGAACCTCAGATCAGTCTTGAAGTCCTGGGCGATCGCCCAACTGAGCCTCTCTGGAAGGGGAGCCTTGCGCTATGAGGAGCTCGTGCTCGTTCGCTGGTACTTCCTGATCTCTCGGGAACGCCACGGTCCCTGGCCTGAACCTGTGGGGCTTCTTGACCCGCCGGTCGCCGGGGCCGACTTGCGAGCAGCCTTTGTTGGCTAGCTGGCTTGCGGGGGGAGCCTTGCCGCCGGTGGATCTGCGGGCTGTTTGCTTCGTTCGCGCCATTGGGGGGATTCTGGGGTCTTGGGTTGAGGATATGTGAATCGTGGGGGGGTGGGTGGGATTTTTAAAGAGGGGAAGAGGAGGGGGGGGGGGGGGGAGAATTTTGCATTTGGGGGGCGGCGAGGGTCTTTGAATTTTTCTGAGGAGGGCTTTGGCGTCGTCGCGATTGTCAGAGAATGAGCGACGAGATTCGGCTGAGGGGGGACGCGCGATTCTGTTATCCTCCGAGGACTGGCCGTGTGGCATGCGTTGGATTTTAAGAGATGGAGGGGTGAGATTTGTTTCTGACGACCACGCGGATCGCTGTCCGAGGCTTGCCTAAAAGTTTGAAGCCTTGTATGGCTTATAATTTGCTGGATTGACAAAAAAGATGTCCGAAGAATATGGAGAAACAAGGATCCATGATGATGTTTTATAGTTCATGGCACCACTTGGTTCTAAACCCTATGGTTGCTCCCCTCCGTTCTAAACCCCATGGCCCCGTTTGTCAAAGGTTTAAATGAGAGGATAAGAAGAGTTAAACTCTTGTTAGCTTGCCAAATACGAAAAAATTATACATGGCATAAAATGAGATAACCCTTCATAATTTGTCAAACACTAAAAATACTAGAACAAACCCTTCTAGATGGGTTTAAATAAGTTGAACCCTTTAAAACGAGCAGTTTATAAGTCCACCTATTTAGACGTACTAAGATATTATCTCATTATTTATAAAGAAAGCGATCATAATTATTATTATTCCCAGACACAAAAAACGACCGAAAGGATTAAAATAGACTAACCTAAGGATTAAAAATTTTAACCCTTCATATTAACAAATGGGCTAACTTTGTTAACAGTTCTCCTTAATCACTCCTCCTCAACCTTTTGCTATACAAGGCCTCCGCTAATTGAAGCAAGAAAAAAAAATTTATACATATCATTTTAATAGTTTATCTATTGATGATAGATATCATTTAAAAGTTTGATAATAGAAGGAAATTGAATATCCATTAGTATTTTTTTCCAAAAATTGTCGGTAGCCAACGAGAAATTCCGGAAGACACTTGTGTGTAGAAGTTGTTGATGTCGATTATCAAATAGAAAAATTTTAGTGTGGATTATTTAGTGTGTTAGGGTTCCTCAATCTTCTTAGATGATTGGTTATGGAGCAGAGAATTTATTCATGCACACAAAAAATACATAAGAGGATCGGAGTTTTGGGATCTCTGTGGGTTCCTCCAAAGATCAGGTCAATTGTGAGCTTAAGTAAAGGAAAAAAGAATGCTTGTAGTATGTTTATTTGTAAAAGATTGCTTACCTTCATGTGGCAAACAGTGCGCCTATTTATATAGCAGATCCAGGAGGGTAATTATGTAACTTCGGCCAAGTGAAAGTAGTTTGCTTATTCGGCAGATATTTGATATGTGTTGGCTGCAGGTAGTCTGAGTCACCTACGCGACTAATGTGATGGTGACAAGAGAAGCATGGTGCTGACGAGGTCCCATGAGTCATTAAGACTTTCGGGATCAAAGTAGTGATGACCAAATTTAATGTGATGGTGATCGGATGCCGGCGGGACCGCGATTCCTGCGAAAGTGAGTTAGGATTTTCTTTTTATTTTCTTTGCTAGAGGACTAGCAAAAGTTTAGGTGTGGGGGTATTTGATGAACACATTTTATTACAATTTTATACCCTCATTAATTATTCTATACGAATAAATATACCACTAATAACTGTTTTTATCTTTAATTACAGGTTAATGAAGAATAAATCTCAACTTCCCATCTCTCAACAAAAACCCATTGATTAAATGAAGAAATGATTCAAGAAGCCAAAGTGAAATTTTCGAATTTAGCAAAAAGATTACACAAGGGAAACAAGACCGGATGCAAACAAGATTGGATTTTTATGCAAAGTTGGAATGAAAGGGGCTTGAATGCAAAAATGTGGATTTTAATGAATGAGGCCGGCTTGCTTTCAATTGCTGCAACTTGATTGGGCCGGTGCTTATTGACTTTGAATGGGCTTGAAATCAAATATGGGCTGGTTGCTGAAACACACAAAAAAATCAAATGGGAAGACTTGATTTTTTTCACCGGACCTCAAGATAAAAGACCAAACAAGCTGCTATAGTTTGTCATATTCTTCAATAGCTTCATGGACCGGAGATTTGAATCATGGGCCGGTTGAAACAAAATGCGGATGATGGGCTTACTTGGACGTTTGATTTAAAAAAAAAAATCAAATGGAGTATGGACCTGCTGCAGAATTGATGTTGTGTGGGCCGGATTTGAATGGGTTTTTAACATGGATAGGCCGGAATTAATTTGGCTTTCATTTTGAAAAATCAAGAGGACTTGCTTTTGGGCTGCTGCAAATATGGAAAATCAAATAAATCAAATTAGGCCTCTTATGTTGGATTAGAGAAGAACAAAAAGCAAATTCAAAGGTGGAGATTGTTGCTTGGGGCTCAAGACAAATCCAATGGCTCATATTCATTGAAGATTACTATAAATAGGGGTAGAGAGTGAGGGGTTAAAGGTGTGAAAATTGTAAACTCCTTTTGGAGAGGAGGGCTACTCTTAATTGAGAAGGCCTTCCAAAAATTGTAACTTTAGTTGCAATTAATAAAAATAATTTTTTCCTCTTTAAATTTGTTCTTTCTCCTCTTGTTGAATGATGAGGATGGAGATGAAGAGCAATTTGAAGGTTTGCATTTCTTTTCTCTTTTATTTCTTTTTAGTAATTTCTTTATTATTGCTTATTAGTTAGATTTAAATTCATGCTTGTAGTATAGATTTACTTTCTTGTCTTTTTTATTTTCTTTTTGCACTTTAATTTGTAGAGTAGATTTATTTTTCTTGCATTTAATTTCTGCAATTTATTTTGTAGTTTAGATTTTTATTTTCTTTGTAATTAGATTTATTTCTTGTTCATAGTTTAGATTTTTCTTTTCTTTTTAATTTTGTAATTAGTCTTCTTTTTCTTGTTTTTATTTCTTAAGATGTGAATTTAATTCTTGTAGGAATCTTAGAATTGTATGAAACTAGTCTAATTTCTTTTATATTGTATGAATTATTCTCTTGTACTTAAAATGTTCATGTTAGGATAATCAACTAGAGAACTAATCGGTAGAAGAAGAATTTGATAATCTATGCTTATCTTAAATGGTTTGATAGGTTATGCTTATGAATTCTAGGATTATTATCATGTTGTTGTTCTTATCATGAATAGTAATTTTAACTTAGATGATAATTTGATAGGTTACACTTTCCTTAAATGGTTTGATAATCTATGCTTAATAAATCTAAGTTGAAATATGATAAAAAGAGAATAGTTTATATTTTGTAATTGAAATTGGTTAGTGGATTATATTCTAGATTTCTTACCTCTTTTGAATCCTCCATCTTGACTTTCTTAAATTTTCTTTTCATTCTTAGTTTTATTTCTTGATTTTATTAATTCATATTTCTTGCCTTGTGATTTCATTTATTCTTTAATTCTTCCTTCTCTCCTCTAAAATTCAATTTATTACCTCTTGCATATAAATCAAAACAACCACTCATACAATCACACTTATTCTTTATTCCTAATTGTCACGCACAAAATATAAGAACCAAGTTTAATAATCTCTTAAAATCACCTTCTTCGTGGGATCGATATCTTTTTATACTATAACTTGATAAATTGTGCACTTGCAATTTTGGTACA